AGGGACACTTGTGGCGCTTGGCCGACGGCGACTTGGGGCTGTTCTGGTAACCGGGCAAGCTCATCTGGCGCGCCGGAGCGCGTGGGTCGTGTTCTGGCTGCAACGGGCCTGGGAAGGTGAAGGCGCGATTGCTTGCATTCTCGGACGGATTGGGTGCGATGTGTTGGTGTTGGGTATGCATTGGAGGTTGTTGATGCTGAGGCGCGCCTTCGTGGCCTCCCATGTTCGCCGACGGCGCCGCCGCTTCCAAGTTTGTCGCGGCGGGTGGGTTGTTCGAGTCGGCTGAGCCAAAGCTGGAGAGGCTCACCGGACTCGTCTGCATGTTGTCACCCGTCATTCCGGCCGACTCGGGAATGACCAGGGCCTTTTGTGCCTTTTCCACGGGCCCGCTCATGTGTGCTGGTGCGTCTTTGTGGTTGTTCACGGCGGACTGGGCCGTCCCGATGAGGCTCTGAACCACGGCGTGGGCGGGATTGGGGCTCGTTTGGCGCAGCAATTGATGTTGTCGCCGCCGCTCGTCCTCGAGCGCAGCGGCCCCCGTGAGCGGTTGAGGCGAGTGTCTTGGCGAGAGTCCCCGCGGGGATTTGGTGAGATGGGTCCCGAACGTCGCGCCCGCGTGTGAAGTGGGTGTTGCCGTTCTGTTGGGCACTGGGAATGAGCCGGTGTGCGTAGGCGTGATGGCTCGAGTAGACGCTGCCATGGGTTATAGTGGAGGAGGTGATATGGTGGTGATCCTTGCTACCATGTTAGCTTCACTCGCCTCTTTACCATCGCTTGGGAAGCGAGTGGATCGCTGGAGGACATGACCACGCACCTTTTGGTTTGCAGTGTTTTCACTGTGCGCAGTTGTTGTACCTCGGTCGCAAAGATCAGCCAAGGCTCATGGCAGCATTCGCCGCCCACAGATCCTCCAGATGAGATGCGCGCGCGAGCGAGCCAGCTTTCTGCGATGCGGGCCGGGCTGGCGTCGCAGAGGTGCAGGGAGTGCGGCTGCAGTTGCTCGCGAGCCAAGACGGACGCTCAGGCGAACCAAGAAACCGTCCAATGTCGAGTACGGGGCGCGCAGCAGAGATGCAATGCAGTCGAAGGGCGTGGGAGGGTGCTGTGATGCGGTCGGCGGTCGCGATGCGACGGGTGATGGCAGCTGGCGAACCGGAGGGTGGAGGTTTGCGGTGCGGCGCTGTCCAAGCAGTCCAAACAGTGGCAGTGAGGCTGTGGCGATTAGCGGCCGTGGGAGGCGCTAGGGACCGCTCGCTGCGATGGCGGGCAGAGGGAGGGGGGGCAGCAGCGTGCGACGGTGGAGGACAATGGGCAGGGGAACCGTGTGCGCTGGCAGCGTCTCCAAGGGCAGCTGGGTCTGCGAGACAGCGACAGTGGGATGGAGGTGTGGTGGTGCTGGCTGCTGGGCGACGGCTGGGAGTGCCGCTGCGATGACGAGCGGTCGCCGGGCTGGAAGCTGCCCAGATGTGGCTGGACGGCTGCAGGCTAGCGCAGCGACGATGAAATGCAACACGGACCCCAGCGAGCCGAGCGACGACGAGCACCGGCTTCTCGTGCTGATCACCACCTCGAAGCCTGGCGCCCGCCTCGCGCTACAGCTTTCCCTCGTTCCTCGGGCCCTGCCTCCGCTGCCCTCGAGCGCTTGAGATTTCCCCCCCGCTCGCTGTGCGCAGACGGGCTGGCGACCGCGCAAAGAGGTCTGGTGGGTTGCGCATCATGACTGGTTGGCGGCGGGAGCAATTTGGCCGGGCAGCCTCACACACGCGGCCTGTGGGCTCGCGAAGAATCGGGCCCGCGATGCAGGCTGTGCAAAGAGGCGGCGCCTCGCTGAACAGTCAGCTACTCCAGCAGACACCCAGCAGACACCCAGCAGACACCCAGCAGACACCAGCCGCACGCAGCCATTCACACCCCAGCGCCCGCTCGGCTCCGGCGCACCTCGTCCCCAAACGGCATGACCGCCTTGCCGACGACACGAGCGCCACAAAGGCCAAGTCGCACGCTCCACCGACAAGCCTGACTAAGGCCATCGCCGTTTCGCTGCTCGCGCTGCACGACACGGCGGCGAGGGACGCGGCAAGGGACACAAATGGCAAGGGACAGCACGTACAGCAGAGCCTTCACACCGCGCGCCAGCCGCCTCGGTGTCTTGTCATGGTCCAGCAAAGAGACCATGGGGAATGCTCGACGAAGTGGCGTGGCGCAGCGCCCATCATCACCACGACTGCCGCTCCGCTCTGCATGCCACCATCCCCCATCGTCCGATCACCTCCCGTAGCAGAGAACTGTTGGCCTAAACGAGTCAATCCTCTCCCTCGGCCTGCCGACAAAGGCAGCTGTGCCCGCTCGCCGCTACCACACCAACGAGCGTGCCCATACAGCCTGATGTCTTCACCAATCGATTCCTTCTGTGGCTAATTTCCATTGGCGCGCCACAGCTCGCTGGCAGCCACTCAGCACCGCGCGCGACCATCTTGCCCTTTCACCGGACACCACAAAGCAGGTTTTGCCGCCTTCCGAGCAGAGTCTTCACCACCGCACCGGTCGGGGCGAGACATTGCCCGTCGTAACACTTGCAAGTGGTCAGCGCACCCGTCAGCCACCCTCCAGGCAGCCAGGCGATCTTTTTGCCATGTGCGATCAACTTGAGCCTCCGGCGCCAATTGCTCACAGCTGCCAGCCCTAGCCCAGCCCCGAACGGATTGACACGCGATCGTCAGGCACCGCTCCCGGCACTCACCACCGGGAGCTCTGCAACCTGGCACACTCTTCTCTTGTAGCAGTATGGCAGCAGATGAAGCATAGTCGCCATCTCGCCAGCGACGCGAGCTTTTGGCCTCCGCGGAAACGCCATCGGAAGGAATTCTAAGTTTCACACTTCTCACGCATACAACAGCTATTTTTGGCCAAGCTTCGCTGCACCGCCGCAGCCCATACACCCACCACCATCACGATGCACGCTCGACCCCACGATGTGACATGCCGATAGCAACACGGTGCCACACGCGTGACGCCTACGCTGCAAATAAGCATATGCACCGTCGAATCCCCTTCCGCAAGCAGCCGAATACCCGCTGCCCTAGCAGGCTCTTCCATGTTGACCTCAACCTCGTCGAATAACCACGAGATACACCCGTCTCTGTATCACCCATCTCTGCATGGTTGGGCCTGGGTCGGCGGGCAATTATACCGGCAGCGGCACTTACCTGGACCAAAGGCCGCCTTATCGTAGCTGCTCTTCTTGATGGAAGCTGCAGCTCGGAACGCGACGGTCCATTTACGCACACCGTGTCTTAGGCTCACGTATTATAGTGGTGTGGCACTGTATACGTGGCGCATCAGAATTCTCCCCCACCGCCGCCAACGAACCACAGAACTTCGAGGCCCGCCTGCAGCTCTGTTCGGAACCGTTGCCGCAAGTGGGCCGATACCCGTCTGTCCCTGGGTCGTGTCTCGCTTGTGATGCGTGTGGCACCCGTCTATCCGTACTGCATGTGTGGCGCTCAACACTTCGACCAACGCATCCGTCGATTTGTTTTTCTTCTAGGCCTCGCGTGAGCTTCTGCATAAGGAGTAGTTCGGTTGCATTACACAGTCGGCCACGAAGAATTGCAGCACTTGAGTCAGATTTGCTCACGCATTCTTGGTTATGTAACGTTCCACCCAGAGCACAACACACAGATCTTATGATGGACGTTTTCAGCCCTGAAGAATCTAATATTGTCATTCCGCCAGCACTGATATAAATATATCGGTCTGCGGTTCCATCGTAGAGGTGCATGTTACATGCATTGATTCAGCCCTATGCATCCGACCCCCAAATGTGCCGCTACAGGATTGAAATAGATGTATGCACGAAACAGGCATCCGTTGCAACATGCGTCCTGCTTCGACCTGCTCGCTCCTGCGCCTTGCGCTATGCATCTAGATTTCAGCTAGAAGTCTCGAAGCGCTTGGCCTGATAGAGGCTCTCATACTAGGCTGCATGATGATGCGCGACTACTGAATCTCCCTCGGCTATCAACTATTTCAAAAGAGAGACGCTCAAGGTGTATACTCCATATGTGCTCAGACTAGTAATGATTGCTCGCTCGCACGTGAAGTCGGCAAATGAAGTATACCTTGTATCCCTTGATGTTTTCCAAGGTATGGTAGCCCGTATTCACTACATGTAGCCGCTTGTCGCGGAGATAGTTATTTAATTCAACGCATCATATACCCTGATATATCTTGATTTACGATACGTCTCTAGACTTTGAATCATATAGCATCTTACAATGAGGGAGAGAACGTATACGTGACGTTGGACCTTTTGATTATGTTTCAAGTCCCGCGATATCAGGGAAAACCACTACAAATATTTTTACAATCCAAGTACGAAGCCGGGAGCTGGGATATTACTTTATCTCTTCTCGGAAGCATATGTAGTAGATGTTATACGTATTTGCGAATGGCTAACTTGCTCCATATCCACCCAAAGGCAATATCAAAGCTGCATTCAGATTCATCTCAATCGCATTTTCTGCAGACCTGTACTGTACCTATACTTTTATCAACGTGTCCTTGCTCACCGCCGTAGTGTTTCATCATCTCGCTACTCGATATATTTCGTCCTGGAGAAAAAGGTCGGAAATTGACAAGAGAACTAATCGTGCCCAGTGTAATCCAAGCAGCCGTACACACTCCAGCATCCACGAAAAAAAATTGCCCAGCTGAGGGGGCATTACGTCTGCGTTACATATCCCAACTTGCCGTTCGACCTTAGCATATCAACACAGCAATTATATCGTGTCGTAAAATATACACATATACACCTATTTCATCTATCTATCCACGCATTCACGGACTTTTACAATCACCGCCCCCTCCCTCTCTCAACACACAGCAAAAAAGTAAACACACCATCCCACAACCACACAAAATCAATAATATCTAGAGCTCACGCCCATCCATCCGTATCCCACGTCCCCAGAGCCCCAAAACAACGCAGCAGCAAAAAATGCATCCAACGGGAGTCGAACCCGTGCCAATTGCTTACGCAAGAAAACCTAGCAAGCGCTAGATGGAAGGCAATTATCCTACCGCTGGACCATGGATGCTAAACTTCATGACGAATCTGCCGCATTAACCAAACTATATCCACACACAAAAAAACAAAATTCTTGAGCGTTTGGGGCAGGAAGGGAAAGGTTTTGCGCTGATGCGAATGTGCGTCATGGTTCTGGGAATGGTGATTGATGGGATTTGTGCGCGGGGTGTGCGGGGCTATGAGTGGGGTGGGGCGGGATTAGCGGGAACGTAATAGGGGTTTGGGTTGGGGAGGTGGGAGGACGGCGGATGTGGTTTGGGTTGGTCAGTGGTATTTTTGGATGGGTGTGGGTTTGAGCAAGGGATGAGGCAGTTTAGGTGGTGTTCATGGACATGTTCGTGAAGAAATTGTGCTGTAGCAGGGCGGGGTAGCGGAAACTGTGTACGCTTGACGGATATCTTGTTCCCCGAGTCATAGTAGGTATAGCTATCACGACAAGAGATGGAAGGAAATGGTATACGTTTGAATGTGGACTACATTGACATTTCTTTAGAAAGTGTTTCTTTACAATTAGACATGTACTCATCAGGACCTTGCATCCACTTCACGTAGGCGAACACAAAGATAACTTTTGGAGTACTTGATAGAGTTGCGGTCATGCACCTTCATTACTAACGCGTCTATACGTGTCCATTCCGGCGTCAAACATATGTCATGCACGCTATGTCGCTCCCTACTGCGAAGATGTTGAAGGAAAACAGACTAAGCAAAAGCTATGCCGGGACCAATAATGCGAAAATGAAAAAAATCACCAAAACCGTAACGCCAGACTATCTAGACCCTGAGCATCTCTGGGACCATTTGAGGTATCGTTGTACAACCATTTGCTTCCATGGCGTGAGAAAAAGGTGCAGCGGCGCCGGGGTTGTATCTCTGCTGGTGGTCGGAATAAGGCGAAAGGTGTGGTATATCGAAATTCGTGGAAGAAGGAAACCCTCACATGAAGTCATCACTAAGGTAAATCAGTCAATGAAACCTGAGAACGATGATCAACAGGCGAACTCACTCTCCGAAGTCATCCTCGTACGCGTTTGTGTCGGCCTTATAGCTGACATCCCGCGTTGCGACCAGACTGGCCTTCGTCTTTGCTGCCTTGGTCTTCTTGCCGCCCTTCTCGGCAGCCTTCTCCTCCTTCATCCTTTCATTGCTGAGGGTCGTCAGACCGCTGGCGATCTTCTTGATTTGATCACTAGGCAGATCCTTGGCGATCTGCTTTGCGAACTCTTGCAAGAAGAGTGCGTACTGCGCCTTCTTGTGGTTGTTTCCAATTAACGGCACCAATGTTTCCCGCAGTTTAGTGAACTGGTCCTTGGTCTGTGGGTTAAAGATCTTCAGCGAGCTGAGATCAATGACGTTGGCGGGATCACTCTCGTCCTGCAGAGTGACTGTCTTCGCCCCGGCGGTGCGTTGCTTCGTGCCCACGCTAAGACCTGCGCCTCCGAAGAGATCCTCAGCGTGCGCCAGGTCAGCATCCTGCTCGTTCTTTCGTAACCGGGCGCGGCGCTCAGCCTCGTCTTCCTCCTCCTCAGAGTCCTCAGCATCCTCCTCTTGCCTCTTACGCAGGTTAGCTTGCCGTCGCTCCTCGATACGCTGCGCCTTGGACTTGTGGTTGGCTTTCGCTTCGGCCTCAGCTTTCGCCTTGGCTTCCTCGGCTTTCTTCGCCTTTTCGCGCTCGACCTCCGAGTCTTCGGCGGCGTCCCAGGATTCTAAGACCTGTATGCATCAGTCAGTAGGGTGATTGTTGTGTTGTTGTGCGCAAGGCAGCACATGGCGGGACGCTGACGTACATCGCTATCGTCTTCCTCGTCGTCGAACTTGCCGCGGCGGAGAGCAGGTACAGGTGGAGAAGAGGGAGGCGTGCTCTCTTCATCCTCGTCATCTACAGAGCGGACTGTTAGTCGTTGTGCTTTGTGAAAAAAACGAGCGCGGACATGTGGCCTGATGCGCGCCGCGGGCGAGGATATGACGTACCCCATTTACTCGGAGCCATGATTGCGGTAGGGTTGTTGGAGGGTTGACGTGCGACGGATATTGCAGATGCGGTTCTTGCGGGTGTGTGCAGTGGTAGTAACAAGGAAATTGGGGAGCGGGGACGTTTTGTGGGTGAGTGAAAGGCAGAATCGAAATTACGGAACAGAGAGGGACCGCGTTGCAGACAATGGTTGGGCTCGGCGTCGCTGCGTGTCCGGCAGGCGTAAAAATTGTCTGTGCCCTGTTGCTGCCCAATCACACTGGCACTCAGCCTTCTGGAACATACCCTATTTTGGGCGCGGATAGCCGCCGGCCTGGGAACCGTTCGCATGTATGCACACACTTCTATATATTAAAATCATGCATCTCTTGCAGTGCTTTGTAAAATCGCTCCAACTCGCAGACTCCTCCCTAATCCCATCTCGCTCAACCACAATTCTTGAAGTTAGGAATGATGAATTGATGCCTAGTTCGCTCCACTGACGGGTCCCGCTCAAGGAGTCACACTTGCATAGCTTATGGGTACCGTTAGTCTAGTAAAGGAGGAACTCATGCCGACGGCCACCTGCTGTGGCATTGAAAGACGTCACACCTCCGTATGAATAGACAGATTCACCTGCATGGCCTAGGAGCGCTGATACGAGATTTTATATGTCACTCGTGACTAAAATGGAGTTTTTAGGTGCGGTTGCGTGCATATCAACATCGAATACCCGCAGTAGGATTTAATACATCGCGAGGAAATACACATTTTGCTACAGCTTTTAGTTTTCATATCACTTACGCACTCTAGGAGAGTAATTATGAGAATTTAGGGGATGATATAGGTTATTCACGTGCATAGATTGTTGCTATGATCTACTCATCTGTACAAGACGATTCCAGATCAAATTTATATTACTTACAGCTCCGGAATCGAACGGAGCGATTGTGTATCCTAGTAGTTGCGTATTACAGAAACGATCATTTGTACAATGCAAGTAGTATTGAAAGTAGAGCACTATGATATCATCGCGATGTATGGGGATTCCTTCAAGAAACTCCAGATACCCAAAAAGCATCGAGGAGTTATCATCAAAATCTCCCATATTCATGAGAAATGCCTCTCGGCGAAGAACAATAACTGCATGCACGTGTACAGTGCGGTGTCATCGGAGGTGCCCTGCGTTTGTCGTGTCAGCTCGGACCCCAAGCCAAGCCTAGCTCCTTCCCCGGTTAGACGACACCTGGTCGTGAGCTCCTTTACTTCGAAAACACACATCCACGACCCCCATCTGCCCGCCTCCCCACATTCCCTCATTTCCTATTGCGCGCTCTCGGCGTCCTGATTCTGGGTCTAATTCTGCCTTTTCCCTTCGATACCCCCTTTGGCCGTCTGCTCTCTCACCACGAGTGAGCTCAGAGCTGCTCCGGCGCAAACATGTCTCAACGACCCATTCCGTTGCACGTCACGCAGCCGACGCTGGTGAGCTACTTCCCATCGCTGTGGATGATCAAAGAAGCTAACAAATGACTGCTAGCTCACAAACCTGAACATTCTCGTACGTTGGCCGATCCAAGGCACCGAGGCGCGCTGAGAGCGAAAAGACAACAAGCTAACTGTGCATGCAGCCGGCATCAATATCATGGCAGAACTGTGTATGTTTTCAATACCACAAGGGAATCGCCATTGAAGACAAGGCTAATGCGCTGTAGACGCTCGAGTCGGACAAGTACGTCTGCGTGCGCCAGCAGAATAGCGAAGCCAACACGCCCGCCGAGACCGTCATTATCGATCTCAAGAACACAAACAATGTCATCCGGCGGCCAATTCGCGCTGATAGCGCCATCATGCATCTGACAGAGCCCATTATTGCTCTCAAGGCGCAGGGTCGGACGCTGCAGCTCTTCAATCTCGAGACGAAGCAGCGCTTGCAGACGTATACTCACTCCGAAGACATCCAGTTCTGGCGGTGGGTCAGCCAGACTACGCTGGCACTTGTCAGTACCAAGTCGGTGTATCATTGGGATGTCCTTGACAGCAGCAACCCGCCGACCCCGCGCAAGATTTTCGACCGCCAGGAGCAGCTTGAGGTACCATTTACCTAGCTATTTGGGATAGGATTTAACTGACATGGTGATAGAACAACCAAATCATCAACTACGTCACTAACGATGATGAGAGCTGGTCGTGTTTGGTTGGCATTGCCTCGCACCCGACCGGAGGCATCCGCGGTAACATGCAGCTGTTCTCCAAGGCCCGAAACGTTAGCCAGCCACTCGAAGGTCATGCTGCTACGTTTGGCACGCTTCGTCTCGATGGCGCAACGTCCGATACGAAGCTCTTCGCCTTCGCCGTCAAGTCCACCACCGGGGAGGCCAAGATCAACATCGTCGAGGTAGACCACAACGCCGCGAATCCTGCCTTCCCGAAGCGCCTCATTCCGATACATTGGCCTGCGGAGGGCACTGGTGACTTCCCTCTCGGAATCCACATTGCGCACAAGTACGGTATCTTAGTTGTGGTAACAAAATTCGGTTTTATCCACCTGCACGATCTCGAGACGGGTACTGCACTCTTCTTGAACCGGATATCAGAAGAGACGGTATTCACAACCGCCCGCGACGATGATGGCAAGGGTGTTGTGGTGATCAACAAGCGTGGACAAGTTCTGCACACCACCATCCGGGAAGATGCGCTCATTCCGTACATCATGGAGAACCCGGCGTGTTCAGAAATTGCCTACAAGCTAGCATCCAAGGGTGGGCTTCCGGGCGCAGACAACTTGTACCAGCAGCGATTCGAGACTCTAATGAACCAGGCAAATTATACCGAGGCCGCCAAAGTGGCTGCCAACTCACCGAGAGGCTTCCTCCGCACGCCCCAGACGATCAACAGGTTGCGACAGATTCCGGCTCAGCCTGGTCAAATCACTGTGCTCCTGCAGTACTTCGGCCAACTGCTCGATAAGGGCGGCTTAAACAAGGATGAGACGCTTGAGTTGGCGCGCCCGGTTTTCGTCCAGGGTCGGAAACACTTGATCGAGAAGTGGCAAAAGG